TAGCAGCTCCATTTTATTGGAATAAACCCCTTATCTTAGCTTTATATTTTCCCATATAACAATTTTTAGTTGTCTGAATTTTTTCCTAGTAAGTCTTTTGTCCCACTTCTCTGTTCCTGCCTTCTCCCTTTTCTTTGTTATGACATGTCCACCCTCTTCAATTTCCCCAAGCCACCATCAAGAAGTATATTTCTCTTTGTTGTGGCATAACTTCCTACTTCAATTTTCCTTATGCCACTGTCAACCTCTGGGACATCTTTTATCTGCTTTTTATTCCCTTTTGTTGGGACATGTCCCCCTTTTTCAATTTTCCCTATACCACTCCAAGCCCAATGGAGTTTTTTGTCTGTTTTTTATTTCCCACTATTTCTACTCTTCATTATCTCCCCCCTCCATTCTTTGCCTTCTTCTTTAAATACCTGCTTCTCTGGGTTTAGAATTCTATTTAGGGTTGATTTTAATGATTTATGCATATTTTTTATAATTTCATGTAGTTCTTCAAATTCCCAGCTTTCCATGATATCCAGTTNTGAAGAAGTAGTTTAGGAATACTTCTTTTAATACATGAGATTTGTGAGTTTGAGTTGTATCCAAGGCTTCTGTGAACAGAATGATTATTCTGCTAGGTTTTTTTAAAAAAATTCTACAACCCTGCGCTCTCCCCAAAAATGGGGAATTGTGTGTTCCTTTAAATAATGGGTGTCAAACTTGCAGCATCACATTGCCATCACATGATGATTTGTGACTTTTTTTTCCCTTTGCGGAGCTGGGGTGGGTGTGGCCTGCGCGTGATGCATCTGGCCTGTGAGCTGCCAGTTTGACACACCTGCATTAAATAGTATCCTGCAGAATTGCAGTGAAGAGCAAGATTGAAATTTTAGGCTAATTCCATGTTATGCAGCCTCAAATGTTGAGAGTTCATTATTCAAAATGAACTGTAAGGAAAGGAAGGAAGGAAGGAGTCAATTCATTAGCTACTTCAATCACTGAAGTAATCCCAAGTCTGTTTAGAGGGGAGAGGAAAATCTATTGGCATGTGTTGGTGTTGATTTGTTCAGCAACTAGATGCAACACTTCTGGCACAAAAGTACACACTGTTTAACATGCAATATTTGTTTCAACAAAAGATTAAATTGATGTGAATGTAGCAACCCAAAAAGTTGGGGAAACCTAGCATTAACAGGTTGTTTAACTAATTAAAGCTCTGTGTGTATTAGATTAATTTCTGTGAAGGACATGTCATGAGAACTTTGTATTTCTGTCTTATATAACAACAATGAAATTGAATTTAATGTTTTAGCCAAAACAGTCCTGGTCCTTGACATTTATCATAGCATTAGAAGAGCTGTTTTTTCCACCATTGGTTGATGTGTCCTTGGATATGTCATTTACTTACAGCTCAGCTCAACTTCATATTCCATAGTAACGTGCTTTAGATCATGTCAAACTGCAGAGTGCTGTTAATGGCAAATGCTGAAATGCCCTCCCCTTCTTTTGAACAACCCAGTGCATGTGAGAGTTATAATATTAATTAGAATTCTTTTATATATAAAGTTTTTTATTTTTTCATTTTCACAGCATATGTATACTATTACATAGCCAACATCGTATTGTATTATTAAATGTTTACATCAATTCATCTTACCATCAACTCTCAAAAACAATTATTGGCTCTTCTGCTCTTCATACACCATATTTATACCTTATCCATCACTTTNTCTATCTATCTATCTATCTATCTATCTATCTATCTATCTATCTATCTATCTATCTATCTATCTAGTGTCACAACCCCTGGTAAGCCCCAATTATGGGAGGAAGCTAAGCACAAATAAAAAAAACAACATACATACATACATACATACATACATACATACATACATACATACATACATATGCCTCAAGCAATTTCAACAAAATTTAGTACACAGATGACTTACTCTGGAAAAAAATATTGTGGGGTAAGACACCCCTAAATCCCCTTGGTGTGTGTGTTCTGTTAAGATACAGCCTCTTATGCCTTAAAATGGATTCTACTGTACTGTCATAAAATGGCTTCTGCTGTACAGCACAGTGGAGTTGCCATGGTAATGGCTTCATAGTACTCCACAAGGGAGATCCCTCTGGTAAGGGGGAAAATCCTACATTAGAAATTACATTTGGTCCAGACATTTCCCCCCTATAAATAAATACCCAGACAATGCCAGGTTATCAGCTAGTAAGAATATAAAAGGATAATCTTAATACATTCTACTGGAGCAAACCCTAGGACAAAAGACATTCAGCTATTCAAACTTCTATCAGACGTCTGTCCTGGATGGAACAAAATTGGTTTCAGGAGAAGCTTTGCAGGTATATTGCGGCCCAGGCTTGCTGGGCTTGATAGGAAGGGCAGTTTAACTTATCGACAAGATGTGAGAGTCACCTGCTTTAACACTACTTAATAGTCAAATAGGTAAGATACATATGAATGACTGAATCCCACATGCATGGAACAGATGCCTCCAGACCTTAATCCTTTGTAGTTGGAATTTTATTTAAGCTGCAGGTGGATCTCCAGAATATCTCTGATCATCCCACTCTGGTTCCAAATGGGAATATTTTGCTGGCGCTTTCTACCTGATTTAATCTTTCTGCCTGATTTAATATTTTAGCTGGCTTTATGGTTTTTTTAAAGATTTGTGCATTGCCAAGAGTCCACTGGAGCTGGATGGTGAATAAATTGAAAATAATAATGAAATGGCGGAGAAGTGGGCAAGGAAGAACTGATTAGCACCTGGTGAATATGAACCGAATGGGTTTTGGTTGAAATATCTATACCCCCTCATTGCCACCCATTCACTGCCAAGCAATTTAACCAACGGTGCAAAGAGGTTGAAGACAGGTTAACATCTGACTAAAACCTACCTGATAATGAAAGATCCATCAAAAAAGGTAGCATCAGGCAACTACAGGCCAGTTACCTGCTTACCAACAACTTTCAGATTGCTAATTGGTGTGATAATTGATGCAGTCAAACAGCATAAAAACAAATTTACCAAAGCAGCTATCAGGACCCAACCACGTGATGTTCTCCAATGGTCCTATGGGTACTTCTATGCTTTGTCAAGGGGAGAGCCTCTTCCTGTGAAAGAACGTGTTGAAATGCCAGTTGCCACATAGAAAAACGATACTGGTTTGACCCCTGGCCTCCTTAAAGTTTTGCATAAACAGTTGTCTCACGAGAAGACTAGATTTAATAGATCTCCATAAAAAGTGGAAGACTTTGTGCTTTCCAGTAGAACAACTGCGCAATCTTCTTCAATTAGATACCTTTGAAGATGGAATAGAATGGATGAAATTTTTTGCCCTTGGCTGTAGTGCTCTTGGCGGGACCCTGCTCAGTTCAATGAAACATGCATGTGAAATTCTAACGGATGATCCAGAGGGTGGACCAGCCCGTATTCCATATGACACTTTTCAATTTCTCTATTCCTACTTGGCTAGCTTAGATGATGAAATAACAGAGGACGTATCTGAGTCTTTTCTCAAGTCTCTTAAAGAACAAATGGCACGTAAGGACTATATGGTTGGCACTGCAGATTTCTCCACTGTAAAACTGATGCCTTAAAACAGGAATGTTTGAGAGTAACAATTTTTTAGTACATAGCACAATGTCATGTCAAATAGTGTAATAAAATTAGAGTTTTCATTTATGTAATCTCTAATGTCCTTTTCAGTTAGTGAACTACCAATAAAATCTNTCTGTTTTTTATTTCCCACTATTTCTACTCTTCATTATCTCCCCCCTCCATTCTTTGCCTTCTTCTTTAAATACCTGCTTCTCTGGGTTTAGAATTCTATTTAGGGTTGATTTTAATGATTTATGCATATTTTTTATAATTTCATGTAGTTCTTCAAATTCCCAGCTTTCCATGATATCCAGTTCCAAAGTTACAGTTAGTTATACAGTTCTTATTTCAGAGTTCTGGTCCACCTTAAATTCACTAATTAGAATTCTGCCATGCTCATTCTGAATAAATGCAAAGCTGCTTTTTGTACTAAGACCTATATACATTAATTTTATGGTGTTATAACTGGCAGTGCCTTCTCTATTATGGCTAATCTTGAAAAATTACATGGGTTCAGAACTCATTAGGACTTGGAGGAAACCATCAGGAAAATCCTAGGCTCCAGATGATATTGGAAAGTCAGCAAAGAAAGATGACTCGGCGAGAACAATTGTCAAACCACGTGTCCTTGAAATCACCAAATAGTCTTCCTGGTAAGGACATAAGATTGGGATTTTCATTTAATCTTTTTAATTCTTGGAAGGGGGAATCTTGTCCCTTCCAGATGTTGTTGAACTACTAAGAATAATTTTCCAGTATAATGTCATTAGGCCTCCATTGCATTGTCTTTATCCCTCAAATATTGGTATGATTTAATACTAATTTCACCCATTATTGGATCAGGAGGGTCTCCAGACTAATAACCTCATAGTTGGACTACTGCATTATGCTTTATGTGGGGCTGCTCTTGAAGACTACATGGAAGTTAACTGGTCCAGAATTCAGTAACACAAGCAATAATTGGCCTGTCTCAGTCTTCCTGCATGATATCACTATCCTACAAGCTGCATTAGTTGCTAGTAAACATCAGTACAATTCAAGATGCTGCTTATCACCTACAAAAGCAGGTTTATGCCTGTCCATTAAGAGTGGGCAGAATTGATGTGTTTCACCTACCAATTAAACAGTGTTATCTTTTGAGATCCCCAAAAATGCCTTTTAAGTTCTGGCATTTGCCCAGTGGAACACCATATGGTTCATATGAGATCTGTATGGCTTCATCTTCACATACTGTAAATCTTTTAGAATTTGGCTGTTTTTCCTGATCCTTGGTGGGATAGAGTGACTGCTGAATTCCTGTCTGGTATGTTTTTATAACTTATCTTTTCTGGACATATATGAGCATTTTATCTTTGTTTTTCTACTCTTAAAATGTAAACCCAAAGTAACTTTGAGGTTGGGTGGTCTTTAAATCCAACAAATAAATACATTATACACAGAGGCCAGTAAAGCCATGATAGGGGGAGGAACTTACAAGAACATGACAGGAAAGAAGGCACACACATTTTACACAGTACTTTAAAATTATACACAGCTAATAATGCACAGAAGAAATAAATAACTGCAGCAGGAAAACTAAGTGAAAATTAAATACAATCAAATCTCTTTAAGCAACTAAAATCTTGCATGTTGGGAAAAAAGGGTGAAAAAATAAGGTTTCCATCATTAGACACAATTTTTCACGACATGATGATCTAAAAGAGGCTTCTCTTAATAGAATACAGCAATTTTCTTGCAACTCCTATATTTCCAGTGATTCCTTTTGGCCTTGCCAGCTTGGATTTCTGACAGTTGCCAGAATGAGGAAAGTTAAATTGCTATCCCTTTGGTTGAAAAAAAAATCAAGAATGAAAACAGATGTTTTGAAAGAACTGCAGCAAAATATCAACAGTTAAGTTAGCATTATCTGTATCAGAAAATCAATGCTTATGAATCCCTTAGAAAAAGCTATCAAACTCGCAGTCATGGCGACGTCACATGATGTATCATGACTTTTTTCTCCTTCACTGTGACGCATCTGGGCTGCGGGCCGCGAGTTTGATACCCCTGACTTAGAAGGAGATTCCAAGAGGTGCAAATTTCATGAACCTTACACATATGCAGAAAAAACTAAATATGCAGCATGTTGGTTAAAATAATCAGACCCTTATTATCTGAAGCTCTATTGCAGGGGTGTCATGGCCCGCGGGCCGGATGCGTCACGCACTGGCTATGCCCATGCCCTGTTTAGGGAAGGGGGAAAAGTCAGGATATATCATGTGGTGACTCCATGACGATATGAGTTTGACACCCCTGCTCTAATGTTAACATTATCAAAATTAACTGAGTGCTATTTTATTTGTTATAGTTGGAGGTGACCCAAATATTTTTCATCTCCTTGGTTTCTGGGTGAATCTTGATCAAGAGACACAGTAGTACCATTGTGAGCCATAGAATTTGTTGTTTTACATTCACTTTTGGAGTTTCGGACTTTCTTGATGTGATTCCTGAAGCAGCATTTGACCGAATATTTGAAAATCAAATAGATGAATTCAATTATATTTAAGGCTATGCACAAACAGGATGTCACCACCACAATGTACAGGAAAATTTTCTTCTCAGTAGGCTTGGATATGTAGCAATCAACTGTGTTTGGACAAGGACTTGTGTCACATTGCACAAGGCGGGGTACATCAAATCCTCCATACAGCTTGTAAAACAAGTAGAGGAAGCCTATTTCAAATCCAGTTTTGGAAAAGACGCTGATGAGATAGGTGCAGAGCAACCCCCCATCAATACTTCTCAGGTTCTTATAAAGCTTTGTATGGTGTCTCTTTTCCCTGCTTTCTCGATAAGCGACATGGAGTACAACTAGAAGTGATGGCGTAGAAACCATGATCAGTTGCAAGGCCCAAAGCCTGACTTGGGAAATTGGGAAGAAATGATCAAAGCAGACATTTTCACAGCCAGGTTGTCTGATGTTACACTCAAACTCCTTCTGTTCATCTTTCCAGACGTGTTCGGCAGCTACAACGTAGACAAGGACGCGAAATATAAACACAATAGCCAGCCAAACTCTGCCGATTTCTGTTGAGTATTTATTTACACCACTTAGAATATCTCGCAGGAATCCCCAGCTCATAGTTTCTGCTTCAAGAAGGCCAAGGAACTGTAACAAAATGAGACATGTAGTATGAAAACGTCCTCTTTAAGCAAATAATATATACGGGAGGTAGATCCAGAGTATAAGGAATATATAGAGGTGGGTTCCTACTGGTTCATACCGGTTCGGTGGAACTGGTAGTGGAAATGGCGACTGGGTCTCCGAACCAGTAGGGACGGCATGCTCGCCACGCCCTTCAACCGGTTCCCGGTTGCCGCAACATCTTTTTTTTACCTTTTAAAACGTTCTGGGCATGTGGAGACCTATTTATAGGCAACTACGCATGCGCATGGAGTGCAAAATCGTGCGTGCACCGAACTGGCAGTAATGCTGGAAGAAACCCACCCCTGGTTAATAGGTAGATTTTTCATCAGCATTTAAAAAGCAAAATAGTATATAGGAATTTCAGGTACTAGAATCTCTTGAGTCAAGATGGAAAAATTAAAGAATTTGGTTGTGTACAAGACAAGATCTAGATGCTGTGTGTATAACGGTAACCTATGAAACAGGCAGAATCCGTGGGTATGTGATGACTCTTGGATGTAAAGGTTACAGAAAATCAAGGGAAGTGTGCACGAGGTGAAATGCCACTGTTTAAACAACAAAGGGAAATAAGTTTGGATAATTGCCAGAGACCAACTGGCAATTGAATTCTATTCAAAGGTGCTTTTTCAAAAGGCAACTGGGCTATGTTATTTCCCTTGAGAAATTTGCCTCAAGGGAATTTAAAATTTAATATTTAATTTAATTTTAATTCTGCTCTCTTGCTACTAGAGGGTGCTCTTCTCTCATTTAATAGCACTTGATCTCTCATTTACAATGCTCCCTCCTTGCATCATCCAGTAATAAAAAGCTGCATTTTTCCTCTTGTATTTTGGTGATATAAAATGTAACTGATAATTGTAATCCTTTAAAAAAAAAAAAAAAAGGTAAAAGTGCATTATCTTAAATAACAATTTTAAATGGCTAAATATGTGTGGCCATGTGTTTAGATAAAGCAGGTGGTGGTACAGGCAGTCCTTGTTTAGCAATTACCTTGTATAATGACCTTTCACAGATATGACAGTGATGAAAAAGTAACTTTGCAAGCAAGTCCTCACATTTATAATCTTTACAGGTCTGTAAAGCAAAGGAAAGCTAAAGTAAGATTGTAAGCATAGTCATGATTTCACTTAGTGGCACTTCACTTAAATGACTGAGTTGCTGGTCCCAATTGTAGTAAACAAGGATTACTTATAAAATTTACATTATATAAAAATTACAGTCATGTATGAATAGTGGGAATGGTTCAAGATGCAAGAGTTTAAAGATGTCAGGTGCTATTAAACCAACCACCATGCCTCTCGAAAGAGTAAGAACAAACAGCTTCCAAGCTTCAGGGGAAAGAAGATGAGCTTTTGAAGCACTTTCCATGTCTTCCAAATCCAATTCTTTTTTAAAAAAAAAATAAAGGCAGAAAGACTCAAGCTACAAGTATCAAAATGACAAGTGTCATTTCTTAAAACCTTTGAGATATTACAGCAATGGCCTCCTTTAACTCATAGTTGAGGGCTGGTAGGTTGACTCAGCCTTCCATCCTTCCAAAGTTGGTAAGACAAGGACCCAGATTGTTGGAGGCAATATGCTGACTTTGTAAACCATTTAGAGAGTGCTGTGAAATGTCATCAAGTGGTATATAAATGCTCTTGCTATTGGGACAGGACCAGGACTTGTTGCTCTGGTGAATAATGACCACTGCTGAGAACTGGATGGGAGAGGTGTGGCCTCCTGCTCCTATGAGACCTCTTAGCATTGCTCATTTAATCATGATGTTCTTCTGGACCACCTTGTATGAAGCCTCACATAGCTGGCAAAGAATCAAGAGCCATGCAGAGTCCAGGAAGGGATATTTAATGCCAATTAGAGTAAAAACATACCATAGTTTTTGGAGTATAAGATGTTCTGAAGTATAAGACGCACCTACGGTAGCTTTTGGGGAGGAAAACAAGAGAAAATTTTTTTGCCTCTATCTCCCAGCAATTTGCCTCATTGCATCAAACAGCAAATAGTACAGAAGATATACACTGTTTGTGGTGTTACATTTCAGACTATATTTGTACAGATGCTTTTAAAATTGATGTGGCTTTCTGGAAGTATACGTTATTCTCTGCTATTTAAAAGATGATACAATAGCACTGGGCCTCTTCAGATCAAACATTTATTTAAAAAAGCTTCTTCGTTTTGTTGAGTTGCCTAGAACAATAATAAAGCAGTCTTTAAAAAACAAGTCTAATAATTTGAACATTCTATAGGCATTTATAGTTATAGTTTCAGTTTAGCCTGATTAGAAGAAGAAAAAAATCTGCCTCTGCGTCCCAGCAATTTGCCTCATTGCAGCAAACAGCAAGTTTCACTTTCAATTTTAATTTAAGCAGGGGGCTCCCAATGATCAGCTGTTTTAGGCTGCAGGGATTGCCATAGCAAACCCTATTTTCTCTGTTTGCTGCAAGGAGGGAAATTACTGGGAGGCAAAGGCCAAAGGGTGGGGGCCAGTGGGTGGGTGGGGCTACATTCGATGTATAAGACACACACAAATTTTTACCCTCTTTTATGGGGGGAAAGGTGCATCTTATACTCCGAAAAATATGGGTAATCTTTAAAACTGTAAAAACAAATGTGCAGGAAATCTTATTGTAAACCAATTTAAGCAGAGTCTCTTTGAAATGCTTCCTTCACTTCTGGACTGAGCTCCCTCTTCTTGTACCACTGAACTTCACCACTGCCTTTCCCACAGTGTCTCACAGAGGGGTTGAGAGTTGGGACATTGTCTTGATTTGCTTTACCCTAGAGCAAATGGTTCCAATTGATAGTTATGGGAGAGGAAAGATCAAGCCCTTGTTTTTCTAGTATGGAGGACCACCCAATTTGTCCCTTTCCTCAGTGTTATTCAACATTTATAGTTGGAAAACCTGCTAGTTTGAGGTGAGGGGACATCAACACACGGATTATATTCAATTGTTCATCACCATACAGGCCAGGTTGAAGTTTTATAGAAGTCTAGAGTTGACTCCTGGAAGTTGTAAGGAACTGAATGAGAAGAAAAAAAGCTCAGCATAAACTCAAGCAAAATGGAGCTATTCTTCATCCAGGAATAGCCTGGCTATCCTGTAGTTTCTCATTATGGTGTTGTGGTTCCTCCAATCTGTAACTTGGGGGTCCTGAATGGCTCCTGCTTGAGCACCAGATTGAGGTCATGACTGAAGAGATCTTTGCCCAGCTAATGAATCAATTACGGCCCTACTCAGAACAATAACTCATGCCTTGATCACCATACAATTTGATACTTCAGTGCCCTCCATATGAGACTGTTTCTGAAGAGTCAACTCTGCTTGAAATCTGCTTTCTTTGTTGGAAAGAATCTTTTAGTGAGATTTAAAAGGCTCTTCAAGACTTCAGAACAACAAATATTAATATGCAGTTTCAACCAATGCTGCGATGCCTTTTAAAAGAACCACCAGGACATTTTTACAATAAAGTAAAAGGAGAGGGAGGAATGACACAAACTCAAACTTACTTAGAATCTCAACTCAAACAGCCACCTTTTATCAACGGAACAATATTTTTGTTGTTTTAGATTCCAAGCTGTTTTGACCAAGTATGTGCCAAACGTAGCACAATTACATGCCACCAAGCTAACCACAAAGATGGCATTCTATTATTTACAACCCATTTTAGAAGAACACATCTACATATTGCTTAAGATCACTAGAAAACATACTTACCTTCAGAGCAGCAGGTGGTTGTCAGCACAGCAGAGTTCAGGAGCATTAAAAATTAATCTTTCGTTTCCCCGAAAATAGCTAGCCTTGAAAATGGAGTCGGGTGGTTTCCTAGGCAGTGCAATACACATAAGTGCAACCTGATTGTTCTAATATATTATTCAAAAGAGAAACCTAGCCTGTCTTTTCTTGGCTACCGCAGTAGTTCCTGATCTGTTCTTTCCTTTCATTTTCAAAATAATATTAGTGTGGACCAGAACTGATACGTAGCTTGGAAATACCTGAGTTAAAGAGTAGTTGAGAGACAACTAGGCTTGGACTTATTGACCAATGAATAATGACCTCTTTTGGTGAAGAGGAGCCAGTACAGAAAAAACGTGGCACATCAAAATCGCGGTGATAAAATCGCGGTGCTAAAGCCGCNGCTGAAAGCCCTATGAAGCGGTATATAAGTCTAACTGCTATTGCTATTAAACACTGGTGGCTAGGAAGTGAGACTGGAAGAGGCTATTGCCCACTAATCCAATCTTGTCAGTTTTCCAGAGTCTTCCATCCGTGTAATATCAAGATGCCTGCAGGTGAAACATGCATTATCTTTATGAACTTCAGCTGCTTCCTTAGTTGTTTCTTAATTAACTTCATTGGTTTTAACTCATAAATCTGGGGACAGTATTGTGCCAACTTGTTGGACTGTAGTTCCTATCTTCCCTAACTGATGAACAGTGAAGTCATAGATCAAGGTATCCAGATGACGCAACATTGGGGAAGGCTGAAACACTGGATTATCAAGTGGATGGATCGTATTAAATTAAGATTAATGGGAAGTTATATAATATCCTTCAAAATAATGTATTATTCTGTTTGCTTTGGCCCTAGTTATACTGACTAGCAGTGTTTGAAACTCTACTTGACATAGTCAGGAATTCATCCTGATGTACAATTTTACTGATGTACAATTTTTCGTTTGTTTTGTTTTGACAGGAAGGTGCTAAGAAAGAAAAACAGAATAACCATTCAAGGTCTTTGGCTAGCAACCTCACTGCATTTTCCAGGTTTGGGAAATAATAGACCTGGATTTTTATTGTTATTAGTCAATTAGATTGCAATTAGAATATAGGATACTAGTAAAGTGTCACACAGTCCAAATATTTCTGCCACAGTAAGATGTCTTCAGCACCGCAACCTCCAGACGTACAACATGAAGTACCCAAAAAGAAAGATTATCGAATCCCGGGCCTCCGAAGTGTCCAAACAACTACATTGTTCCGTGCTGTGAATCCAGAACTTTTCATTAAACCTGTAAGAGAACAGCAATTATTTGGGACAGCTGATTTAAATACATCCATCTTTTTGCCTGCATCTCAGTTTCATAGTCTCGAGTTTAACATGTTGTTTAAGTGGTGCTGCCACTTGCTGTAGTTTTCAAAAACACAGTTGGATCTTATGTCAACTTTTTCCTAATGGTCACAGTGGCTTCAGTGCAATTCTAAACTCTCTGCTCATTAATAATTCAATAGTATTGGATGGAGTTTATTTCCAGTTATATAGAGGACTGAAGCCTTAATTCTAGCCATTTGCTTTTCTCTCTGAAAGCTAGATTAAGATGGAAAATAAAATAATGTTGTAGTCCGCTGCCGGCTGTGGAGCTGGCAGCAGAGTCGGACAGTGAGGAGATCGGAGAGGAACATGGGCCAGTCTGGAGTCTGGGGAAGGCTTGGATGAGGGCTCTGCTTTGGAGGCAGAGAGGGGGGCCAAGGCCATCTGGTAGTTATTTGCTGCCTCTGGAGTGTGACATCAGTGAGGCAGAAGAACATCGGGAGCTTGTTCCCAATGTGCGCATGCGCAGGGCTGCCAGAAGGCAAAAACAATTAAGAAAACAGGGTTGACTCGGGAGTAAGGCTTGGAGATGATTGGCCCCTCCCATAAGACATATAAGAGGAGCGAACAGGACGTGAGCTTTTGCAGGAAGCAATTAGTTCATTTGGTTGGTTCAAGCTTTGAGAAGTTCTGTTTGACTCTGTGCTAGGTTTGGCCTTGCTCTGCGTTTGGCCATTAGGTCTCTGGCAGCATTTCAAGGGAGATAAATTCCCCTGAAAGTCCCCTGAAAGACTGTGGCAACTTGAGCAGACATCTGTCGGAATCTTCACAGACTGTTTGTGAAGCCATGCGGACTGTGAATGACCCAGGGATGGGTTTCTCGCCCCGTTCCAACCGGTTCAGTTGGAACGGGGCCAGCAGCGTCCTCGTGCACGCGCGCAGCGCACGCATGCGTACTAGCGTCTGTGCGATGCTCCAGCTGCTCCTGGAGGATTACACAGGCGCTGTATGCATCCTGTGCATGTGTGGAAGCGCAGAACTCGTCAAAACCGGGTAAGGAACGCGGGCGAGCGGGTGGGCCCTTCGCCGTTCCCGGAAGTTATTTACTTCTGGGTTCGCCAACCAACCGGTTCGCGGGGACCGCCGCAAACCGATTGAAACCCACCCCTGGAATGACCATAATTCACAGCCGTATAAATAAAAAAGGTTTTTGGGACTAAGATTGTGATTTATGCTTTCTCAGGATGCCTAGGTCAGAACAAATAGGTCATCAGGACATAGCTTAATAAAATACTTTTAAGATTGCATGGTTTATAGAACATGGATTAAATACAATGTCTGGATTTCAAGCTGTTATTTTTATTTTCACAGAACAAAACAGTTATGGCTTTTGGCCTCGTGACAGTTACTCTTTGTGTAGCTTATATCGGGTACTTGCACGCACAACAAGAAAACAAAAAGGATCTCTATGAAGCTATTGACAGTGAAGGAAAGAGACTTATGAAACGCAAAACTTCAAAATGGGACTGAAAAAAACTGTCAGTGTCGATATAAATATCAACATGGAAGACGATGTTTGATTTTATGTATGGCAACTTTCAGGATTTTGTCTGAAGCATTAGCATTTATTTTTATACAATGAATGCTTTTTTAAACCAAATATTACAGTTTAAACACCAGGATGAAATGCTGTTATTGATCAATATTTTGAGTAAAGCCCATTATAAGAAAAGATACCGTAGAATATATGCAAGTTATTTCTTATCTATACTGTGCCCATAGATGCTTTAGAATTATTGCCAGAACTGCACTGCCTGATTTTAAAGTTCAGTGTTTTAGTAAGTCACTCAAAGAAACATTTCTAAAATGTGTCTTTTGTTCAATCATTCATCTGTGCAAATTTTAAATATTTTAAATATTAAATAAGGGAAAACTGTGCCATAATCTATTCCCAAGTAATTTATTTATGATTTAGTGTATTGAATGATTGATGGATTGACATTTTTTACTCAAGGCAATAAAACTAATCTGTTAAAATATATTCCCATGAGTTATTTCAATATTTTGAGCCTCCCTGCATATTTCCATTTAGTGAAATATTAAGTTTTTGGTTTAAATATTTGAATAGTAAATGCTGTAATAATTCATGTACATTGTTTTAGAGAAGCAGATGAAACCTTATCAATTATAAAAAATATTCCAAGGTGCTAAGTAATATTAACTGATGTCTCAAATGCTTTTATGAGCAAAACTTACTTTGCCTAGCAACAGTTACTAGGAGGCATTAAACTCATAGGCTCAGATATAGTCATGGCCAATGTAACTTCTTGATAAAGAGCTCCTGAAGAAGCTGTTGGATACATCTTGCCATAGAATGGTGGTCCTTTTCTCTTCCTTCTACTGACCATCTTGTCATACAATGCTTACAAAGCCACCTTATTTATTCCACTGACATGCACAGAACCAAAGTAACACCAAATATAATCCCGCTTTGAATGGAAGAATTAAGCATTTGTATCTGCAGCTGAATCAATTACTTCATTCTCTTCAAAGGAGGAAAAAAGATCTCATGCAATCATGATTAGAAACCCAGATTTTGATACCTTTGTTTGCTGTGCTGTTTGTTCAAAACTGATTCCACCGCCTCCTACGCCAGAAAGCTTTGACCGGATTAGGGAATATAAACCTTATAAAACACGGTATTATACACACAAAGATATATTGGGTAAGTCAATCTCCTCAATAAACTATAATGATTCATATATTTGACATGTTCTAAGGAATCTGCATAAAATGGGGGTTCCACCACAAAACCGCGTTCGACTAAAGCGCGCTCGACGAAACCGCGTACCCTAACCCTAACCGCACGCTGTGAGCACTAATGCTAAAATTAACCCCTAACCCTAAACCTAACCCTTAACCTAACCCTAAACCTAACCCTAAACCTAACCCTTAACGCTAAACCTAACCCTAACCCTTAACCTGACCCTAACCCTAAACCTAACCCTAACCCTTAACCTAACCCTAAACCTAACCCTAAACCTAACCCTTAACGCTAAACCTAACCCTAACCCTT